AAAAGAAAAGAACATAACGAGCATTCCAGAGATTTCCTTTACTTTGCTCCCATCAGAACTCCCCTCCCCACCATAAATAACCATTGTACTGCCTTTTTGATAATTCAGAAAGATTATTTTTTTCCTGGTTATTATGAGGTTTTCAACCAACTTCCACCAGAGTAGCTAAAATTAAAAGGACAGACAATACTAAGTGTTGATGAGTATGTGGAGCAATTAGAACTCTCATACACTGTTCTAGGAGTGTAAGTGGTGCAATCACTTTGAAAAACTGGCATATTTAGTGAAGCTAACCATGCAAATACCCTATGACCCAGCAATTTGACTTCTGGTATATATCCTACAGAACTAGGTGCTTATGTCTACCAGAAGACATGTACAAGCATGTTCATAGTAGCCTTACTCATAACAGCTGCAGACATTTTGGAGCTATTTGGTACATTTGGGAAACAATCCAAATGTCAGTCCATAGAAGAATGAGTCAATAGTTACATGCAAACTAAGGAACCTAGATTGTTGTTGATGCCATAGTAGAGAAAAGTGCTGCTGCAGTTGATGTCTGAGACAACTCTGTAGTCTACACAGTGCTTCTGTGTTTGAAAACAACTCTGGAAGTATTCTAAGGGAGAGCTCTTGTATTAAAATTCAATCCCTGAGCAGTGTTCAAAACATTTTCCTGGTCAACCTTGGGAATTGCCCTGGAGGACAGGAAGGAATTTCCAGTTTTTGTTTCTACCCAGCCTGTTATTTGCAGGGAACATCCAGATTAAACATTTTCTTCATTATGACTGAGCCAGCCAGGCACCATGGAAAGTATCCTGGGTGCTTTGATGACTTTAGGTAGCCAGATCTTGAGTGTGTGTGTCACTGGAAAGTAATTTGAGCTGTCACCCATCCCTGTGGTGCTGTGGCTGAGTGGTTTCTCAGAGGCACACCTATGGAAAGACCAGCACCTTTGTGCAGTACCTCAGTATTTGGAGTTCTTTCTGAATTTGTTTCCATTTCTGTTTGACTATTTATAGCACCTAGTCCCAAGCTACACTTCTGTTGTTTAGTTGGAGATTAGAATTTAGGGAGCAGGGTGCCTGGGTGGCTCAGTTGGTTAAGCGACTGCCTTCGGCTCGGGTCATGGTCCCGGAGTCCCGGGATCGAGTCCCACGTCGGGCTCCCTGCTCAGCAGGGAGTCTGCTTCTCCCTCTGACCCTCCTCCCTCTCATGCTCTCTGTCTCTCATTCTCTCTCTCGCAAATAAATAAAATCTTTAAAAAAAAAAAAGAATTTAGGGAGCAGAATTTTGGAGATGTTTCTTTTTTGAAAGGATTTTTAAAATACATACAGAAGTAGAGAGAGTACCATAATGAACCCCTAAATACCCACCATGCCACTTCAACAGTTACCAACTTTGCCAGTCGTTTCACGTATCCCCACATTTTTGTTGGAGTATTATTTATTTATTTAAGATTTTATTTATTTGAGAGCACAAAGAGAGAGCATGAGCGGAGGAGAGGGGCAGAGGGAGAGGGAGAGGGAGAAGGAGGCTCCCTGCTGAGCAAGGAGCCTGACATGGGGCTCAATCCCAGGACACTGAGATCATGACCTGAGCCACCCAGGTGCCCCTGTTGGAGTATTTTAAAAGCAGATACCAGATATCATTTCATCTAATACTCCTTTTTTTTTTTTAACGAGAAAGATTAGATTATTTTATTCTATTTTTTAAACTCAAACTTTTTTTTATTTTTCTATTTTTATTTATTTAAAGATTTTATTTATTTGACGGAGAGAGAGAGAGAGAGGGAACAAGCAGGGGGAGCAGTAGGAAGAGGGAGAGGGAGAAGCAGGCTCTCTGCCAAGCAGGGAGCCCAATGTGGGGCTTGATCCCAGGACCCTGGGATCATGACCTGAGCTGAAGGCAGATGCTTAACTGACTGAGCCACCCAGACACCCCTAAAACTCAAACTTTTTTTTAAAGATTTTATTTATTTATTTTAGTGAGAGATAGAGAGTGTGGGCAGGGCGAGAGGCAGAAGGAGAGGGAGAGAGTCTCAAGTCGACTCCACGCTAAGCATGGAGCCCAATGCGGGACTTGATCTAATGACCCTGAGAGAGCATGACCTGAGCCAAAATCAAGAGTTGGATGCTTAACTGATTGAGCCACCCAAGTGCCCCAAGAGCAGATTGTTTTAAAATTTTCTCTCTTAATCGTTGTTACTTGTTATATTATGTAAATTGTTCCTTCAGTTTCAAGAGAAGAATCATATTCTAATGATTTGAAATTAATATGTTAGAGCTGAATGAATTTTAATTTTATTTTTCTTTGAATTGTCAGTGATGTTTTAATGGGTAAGGAGATTTTTTTACCTAGGAGAATATTTTATGGATTAATAAACTTGTGTAATGATATGTTTATTGATGAATGTGAAGCAGAAGCAGAGAAACATGTTACAGTAGTTGATGCTAGGCAGTTTGTGATTTTCCTCACACACTTAAAACTGTGGAATATTCAAGTCAGAGCTTAGTTTCTCTCCTCCTACTTTCACTTCTCTTTCCTTCCCAACTACAAACCATCTATAACTTGGAAATGTTGCTTGCTGGCTAGTATTAAAGTTGGTGATTATCCTTTAGTATGGACCTCTTTTGGGAACAGCTTTTCAACACACCATTTGCTTGGCAGGAGAACTTACGGAAATTTAGAGCAGATTTCAAGAACATTCTGAATGGTTTTTTTTAATTTTTAGAGAACGAGAAAGCGAGTGAGCACAGGTTGGGGGAGCTGCAGAGGGAGAAGGGAGAGAGAGAGAATCTTAAGCAGGCTCCATGCCCAGTGTGGAGCCCAACACAGCGCTTGATCCCACGACCCTGAGATCATGACCTGAGCCGAAATCAAGAGTCAGATGCTTAACTGAACTGAGCCACCCAGGCACCCTGATCTTTATTTAATACACAGACTCATTCTTGGAAGAAATACTTAAATTATTTTTATTAGGTAGAATAAAATTTTTTTTTAAAGATTTTATTTATTTGTCAGAGAGAGAGAGTGCACAAGCAGGGGGAGCGGCAGGCAGTGAGAGAGGGAGAAGCGGGCTCCCTGCTGAGCAGGGAGCCCGATGACGGGCTCCATCCCAGGACCCTGGGATCATGACCTGAGCCGAAGGCAGACGCCTAACGACTGAGCCACCCAGGCGTCCCTAGAATAAAATTTTTATCTTTAGACTAAGATTGGGATTCTGAGACTTCAGTTAATCAGTTAGGCATACCTTGTATCTCATTATTAGAAAACAGTTTTTCCTTTCTTGTGATACTGGCAAATCACAGAAAATTAATCTTATTTTATTTGCACTGTGACTCTTTTGCATGATTTAATGAGTTATCAAAGGGCCAGTTTTCTTTCAGTCTATAATAGAACTCGGGTGGCTTGACAATTTTGGACTGTAGTTTGTATGATGTGGATACCTTAATATCACGGTCCAAGTAAATGGTTGTGGATTGAAAGTGATTTTCGAACTATTTGCAAAATGATCCAACCTCAACTTCAAGTTGAGGGGTAGATTTAGGTATGGTGAAATTGAGGCAATGGCATGTTAATTTAAAAAAATTGAAACATATATGTAAAAGTAAACACTAGTGTAATGACCTCCCATGAATCTGTCATCCAACTGCAACAGTTTATAGCTCATGGCCAACCTAGTTGTCTGTGCCTTCATCCACTCCCTATTCTATATTATTTTCAAGCAAATCTCAAAGTACATGTAATTTCAACTGTGAATATTTCAGCATATATCTCTAAAAGATAAAGGCTCTTTTTTTTTTTTTTAAAGATTTTATTTATTAATTTGACAGAGAGAGAGAGATAGCGAGAGAGGGAACCCAAGCAGGGGGAGTGGGAGAGGGAGAAGCAGGCTTCTTGCCGAGCAGGGAGCCCGATGCGGGACTCGATCCCAGGACCGCGGGATCATGACCTGAGCCGAGGCAGACGCTTAACGACTGAGCCACCCAGGCGCCCAAAGATAAAGGCTCTTAATGAAATAACTACAATACTATTATCATATCTCAAAAAATTTCACAATTCCTTAGTAACATCAGGTATTAGTTCAGTGCTTACATTTCTAATAGCCCTCATAAATGCAGTTTTTAAATGTTTTTTTTTGGAAACAGGATCCAAATAAGACCTTCCATTGTGTTTGGTTGATACATCTTTTAAATTTCTTTCTTGCTTTTTTAGTGACTTAAAACATTAATTTGTTATTATTGAATGCTCTATGGGCTGGCTATGCATATTGGGTGGTTCTCATGAGCTTGTGGTGAGATCACACAGAGCTTGGCTAGATGTCCAAGATGATGCTTTTAAATCTCTTTTAATTTATAGGTTTCTTCTCTTTTATTTTCTTTGCTTTATTTTCTCTCTTTTTGGTTGTTGTTGAAAAAAATCAGATTATGTGGGGGTGCCTGGGTGGCTCAGTCGGTAAGCGTCTGCCTTCGGCTCAGGTCATGATCACAAGATCCTGGGATTGAGCCCCACGTTAGGCTCCCTGCTCTGTGGGAAGCCTGCTTCTCCCTCTCGCATTCCCCCTGCTTGTGTTCCCTTTCTCGCTGTGTCTGTCTCTGTCAAATAAATAAATAAAATAAAAAAAAAATCAGATTATGTGTCCTGTAGAGTTTCCCACTGTGCTTATTTTGCTGATTAAATTCCTGTGTCCTATCTTTTTTTTTTTTTAAAGATTTTATTTATTTATTTGACAGAGAGAGACACAGCGAGAGAGGGAACACAAGCAGGGGGAGTGGGAGAGGGAG